CATTCATTGATATTTTTGTACATTGCCTTTCTCACATAATGTGAACATGACAATTTTGTTACAAAAAACTTGTTACAAAACATCCTTGGTAGAAGGATATTCAGGTTTGTTGAAATGGAGAGCCACAACCCTTTTGTGGATTTACATTTAAATTAGTCAAGGAGGCCACAGATTTGAATCTACACTCATTAAAGAGCTTTAACAGTTTTTAAGAAAATTCTTTTTCTTATTCATCTCCCCTTAAGAAAGTTTTATATCATTAACTTTAGTTTTTGGAGGGGTCTATTCCTAAGTAACTATAAGCCCAATGGTAACCAAACTTGCCTGGGTAATTCCTCTAGGGATGCACACCCTTAGACATGCTTTAGATCGGTATATATTAAGTTTATTTAGGATATATAACTTTGGGCAATACAGCCCATCAGTTTACATAAATAAAATATATAATTAATAACTTATATTACAAAATTTATGACTCTCAATGAGCCTAAATTGGGGGGGGGGGGGTAAAACCCCTGGTCAAGTGTTCCTCAGTCCCACAGTTCCATTCATTTATAGTATACATAGAGGATATTCTACGAAAGCCTACTAGGATCAAACTACGATAAAAAAAATTTAAAAGGCGTTATAACGCCTTTCCAAAAGGCGTTATAACGCGAAAAAAGGCGTTATTACGCCTTTCCAAAAGGCGTTATTACGCCTTTTAAAAGGCGTTATTACGCCTTTTTAAAAGACTTATAACGCCCTTCTAAAAGGCATTAATACGCCTTTCAAAAAAGCGTTATTATGCCTTTTGAAGGGCCATTATTATGTCTTTGACAGGCCCGTACTTTTAAAGTGTGGGGGGGGGGGCATAAAATTGACAAGCAAACAAAAAAACAAGAACCCCCCCCCCCCCCCCAAAAAATAAACTGCCTAAACTTGAGGGGAAACTTTTTCTAATTTTTCGGTAAAACTTTTTTTAAATGCAATGACTTGCCCGAGTTTAACCATACTGCAACAAAATGTTAAGGGACCAAGCAATCAATAAATGATTTTTTCTATTTAAACTATAGCAAGACTATTCTCCCAAAAAGTGAGGTGGGGGAGCCCCCCCCCCCCACTCGCATTCGTACTACCGGCCTGTTTGAAAAGGAGTTATATCCAAAAATGGAAAGGCGTTATTTTAAAATAGTAAATATATGAAAGATTGAACCAAAGCCATCTTTATTTATGCAATATTTAGATTATATTTTTAATATTATAAATTATAGTATTTTCTACATTCCTGCACATCTCGCAGACAGTTGTTTGCATTTTGCATGCATATTAAGAGAAGTCAACACTCTACTTTTGAAAATCCAGGATATAGGCAGAACCAACTTTGGGTTCTGCTAGCCATGTATTAAAAATTCATGTCAAATTTGACCTAGATCACCTAGATTTTTAAAAGGCGTAATAATGCCTTTTGGAAAGGCGTAAAAACACCTTTTGGAAAGGCGTAATAACGCCTTTTTAAAAGGCGTAATAACGCCTTTTGGAAAGGCGTAATAACGCCTTTTAGAAAGGCGTAATAACGCCTTTTTGTTATTACGCCTTTTGAAAAGGCGTTATTACGCTTTTTTTCGCGTTATAACGCCTTTTGGAAAGGCGTAATTACGCCTTTTTTCGCGTTATAACGTTATGCCTTTTAAAAAGGCGTTATAACGCCTTTTGAATTATTTTTTTTACCGTAGTTTGATCCTAATAGGCTTTCGTAGATATTTAATGTTTTGTAGATGAAAATTTTTGATATTTTCACGAGTGCGAAGCACGAGTGAAAATATCAAAAAATCCTGTCCCACGAGTGAAATAAATTCCATATTCATCTACAAAACATTGAATTTTCTGTTTATTACATTTTCTTTGATTTTCCCTTTGCCTCTGTATTTTCTTAACACAGTGTCATAGGCTTGACGTCATAGTTGAGCGGTTGAGACGTCATATGTGTGATTGAAAACATTACATAGCATGGATTTTAGCAACATATTTGGGAAGAAATTTGCAGTTTTAGCTCTATCAAGATGCTTAGTTACTATCTCTATCTTATGACAGGCCAGGAATTATTTTATACTTACTTTGTTATCCTTTCACACTGTGAGAGAATATCATTTTTGGTATCCTTTCACACTGTGAGAGAATATCACTTTTTTTCAATAAATAAATCACAGTATTTCACTGTTGAAAATGGAATAAAGTAATATATTGAATAAAGCAATACAATACATAATTCAAAGTTAAAATGCAATATATAGCAATGCTGTTTAATGTACAGACATCTGAAAATATAAACCTTACACAGATATAAATTAGGTTAACCTGATAGATCTTCGTTACGTGATGGATATATATTCCCCTAAACCAACCAAGGTATAGATATGCGGTTTGTACCCCCAACAATTGGATTAATTTAAAAGTACTTGGCGATTTGTAATAATATTCATTTATATATTTTTTTCTTAAATTTAGATATCTAGGGCATTGAAGAATGAAATGGAATTCGTCTTCGATTTGACGAGTATTACAAACATCGCATACTTTTGCCTTGATACCTTCCGCATTCTATGTTAAGATAGTGAGACGAAAGTCTAATGTGGGAAATATGTTTTTTTAAATTACTCTGAAAAGGTTTTGTTAAGTAGGATTGCATTTTACGGAAGTCAGATTGGACAAAGTGTTTATATAGAAAGGATTTTGACGAATTATCCAGAAATGCAGTGCACTCTTGGAGGTATATATCTAGGATTCTGTTTTTATACACGTTTATAAAATGAGCAAAGTTTATTGCTTGTTGTTTTATCCAAAATTCTCCCAGACCCAATCTGAATAGTTCAAGTTTTACATCACGCGCCCAGTTTATACTCGTTCCCGGCCCATTCTCTGCATCATATCGCAGGTATTCATAAGAAGATTTTAAAATGCAGTTTTCTGTTTTTAATAATTTACACCAGAATTTCATAATTTTCAATTTCCTTTGTATAATAAGTGGATATCGCCCCAATTCTCTATAAATCATATAATGCATACATTGCTCCTAATACCGACGGTAATTTTACAAAAGGATAAATGCAGTCTTTCAATTTCCGGAGATTTATGAAAATCCCAGATTTCGCTTCCATACGAAATAACACTTCCAACATATGCATCAAAGAGTTGATGCTGTATCTGACCTACACTTTCCAGATGATCAGGTAACCATTTTTGGAACAGGTCCATAAAACAAATTATACAAATACGAGGGTTGATCCAGAAGTTTTAATTTATAATCTGGACATTTTTTAATCTTTATATTCACATTCCACCGTAAATTGTTTTGTTTCAGTTACTCTTCTAAAATCATTCTCAATTTCATAATCTTAATCATAAATGGTAAGTAGACGTGCATTATTAAACTCAAAAATGGCAACTTAAATGATCATCACCATCATGCAAGGATTAATTTCTTAATACGCTCTACACCTATAATATCAACCATCTAATATCAACAGCATTCTTTTTTCTCCATCCTGGAATTTTTTTTAGTTACATGCGATATAATATTATATACTAGTTGAGTAATGAGTATGGCTTGACACCCCCCCCCCCCCCCACACACACATCTTTTCGCTGGCCCCTTTGGCCCCTTAGCTCTCAAATCGAATCTCTGCTGCCGACCCGAGTGTCAACTTGGTGTAAATCAACATTGTAATGTTATCTAAATTGCACAATAGTTTTTGTTATGTATAAAACTTTAACGTGCCCAGGCTTGGAGCCTTAAAACTAAGACGAAGTCATTTTTTGGCCTCACTTTTACAAAAGGAATTTATCATGGGAAAGTGAGACTGAGATCAAAAGTTAGCCCATTATTTTAAGTTTTATGACCCTAGATGCTGGTATCTTGAACACCAGAAGACATAGTATTATAGTTGACACTTTACATCATGAAGGTAAAAGAGTTTGAACATTTAAAAATAAAACAATAAAGTTTTGTTTTAAATATTTTATTACAAAAATTAAACACCATGCAAATAATATATTCAAAAACACGTATGAATGACCACAGTTTGTAAATAACAGTTACATAATCCAAATAATGAAAGATAGAATAAAAATGTCAGCATCATTTACTTATATATAATAAAAATTGTATTAATATTTCTGCTTTCTGTCATTTGATAGTTAACCTTTATGAAAATGGCGTTTTTTTCTCGAAAAGATGATATTTGAATTTGGGGCGACTCAGATTGTCGAAAAATACGTACAAAATATGTACAAAAATACATGCATATATGCAACAGCAAAAAAACCCAAACACAAACAAAAAAAAAACCAACCCATAAAGCAATCTGTCACACTGAAATGGGGACATTAAATGCATTCGGGTAAGAAGTCTCCATGGTTTCCTGTGTTATTTTCAATTGGGGAAAAATTATTAAGTATGCATTCAAAATTTTCATTATATCAGAGACGTATTTGTCAATGTTAATGAGTCAGTAAGCATTAGCAGTAACAAATTAAAGGGGCATAACTCAAAAAAATAATAATTGCCAGATTGGAGGATTCTGTCCACCATACAAATGAATGGCAATTGTAAGTTGCCAGATATAAACAATCAACTGCAAACTGAAAGAATGCAGGGACGTTAAATTTTGAGTAAAACTGTTCATGCAGAACACTAGTAGTTCACAATGCCCGAATTAAGGGGAATAACTCAAACTGGCAGCACAGTGGTTACCATGGCTTTCTTGTAACAGGACAATAAAAATGTCCCTGCAAAGCATGCAGCACTGTGTTGAATACAGCACTGTCTACCCTTGTACAGTCATTCACAACGTACGCTCCATAAAATTGCCAGTTAAAGAGGTGTGTCTCAAAATAGAAGAAGTACTGCCATTTGTTCATATGATGATCTTGCCACAGACATATTTAGCATCTTTGTTGATGAAACACCTACAGTGACAGATATAAGGAAATAGTTTCTTGTAAATGTAAAATAGCAGAATTATACCGACTATAAATCAAACTGAAAAGAAAATTTAAAAAAAAAAAAAGCAAAAAAAAAAAAAAAGCAGAAGCCGGTTACAGAAACATGCGCCCAGCGCCCTAGCTGTCTTCAGTTCTACTTTCCAAAACCACTGCCCTCTTTAGTAAACATAAAAGGAGGTGTTCAAGTCCTGAGTCTTGGAGACTTTGTGTTGTCTCTGTTTTGGTACGTCACGGCGCACTGCCCTGTGCTTAAAATTGACTCTAGCCAGCCACTCAATCTGTATAAATTGACCATAAAAGTGAAATTTCAGTTGGATAAAAGTTAGATCAATTAATAAACAGAATCATGATTTTGAAAACGGGGATCTAATATGAGTGTCAAGGGCAGATCCAGCTGGAGGCACAGGGGTTCGGTTTCAGGATGGTATGTTTTTCTATGTCTGTCTAAATATACTGATTATAACAAAAATCGCTGAAATTCGCAGTTTTAATTTTTAAAATTAACCCCCAAAAAGTGTACAAAGCTTATCTAGCTATTTTAACTCTCCCTCATCCTTCACTTTTTTTACTCTAACAGACAACAAATATTACCATCCAGCTACACATTTACACATGAAGCAATTTTTATGGGCCACGGTTTTTGCGAATATTTTTTTTTAAATTTATCTACATTTGTTATTTATTTATAATCACTTTTTGTGGGAGGGGGGGGGGGGGTTACAGGTTATACATGGTTAATGTTTCTATTATGCTTATTTTCTTTCAGTTATTGTTTATAAATAACAATAAAATTTTCCAAAAATAAAAATCAAATGCATTCTCTTTGATAAATATAAATGTATATTTTATTCAAAAACGAAATTAAAGTCATCATATATCATATGTATGTGTTTACAGAATATATTTGACCGTTTATTGGGATTCTTACTGTAACTGTGATTTACAAGTGACATGGTATAGTCATTTAAAACATGGCCGTAGGAACCGGGGGCACAGGGAGTGCCCCCCCTCCCCCAAATAATTTTGCCGACATATAGTCTGACATAGAAACTATACTATAGAAAGCATAGCTACTATATGCTTGTGCTCTATCAATAATAGCGTCTGATGATTTTTGTTGTTGTTGTTTTTTGTTTATCAAGAAATTTTTGGTAGCCCCCCCCCCCCAACTGAAAATGTTTGGTTGCCCCCCCCCCCCCTCCCCCACTGAAATTGTTTCTTACGAGCCTGTAAAAAAGTATCATAAGGAGTGTGCCCATTTCATATGGCTTTGATATTAAAAATAAGCGGTGCTAACCTGGTGCGTGGGTTGTGGTATGGTGGGAAGTTCCCTACGCTCCTCAGACTTGTTGATGGCACTGGTCAATTCACGCTAAATAAAAAAAATAATAAAAAGGTTTAATTTCAAGCAAAAATACAGATCGTATAAAACGTATCTGCAGCCAACAAAACACCATCATTCATTGGATACAATATTAATATGCATTTTGTGAGTATATTATTTAAGGTTCCCACTCAGACTCTTACCCAGTCTTCAATATGCTCTACCCATCCATGAGCAGCAGAAGCATAGACTGGTGTCGTGTCGCCCTATTGGGTGACCGCACTTATCTTGGGAATTTGTCTAGCTCGCTCGCTTGTGAGAGACCCTTATTTATAATGATTCTGCTTTTCAGCCACCAGGTCCAGATTAGGTTTGGGTGCACTGTAATAAGGAAAAGCAAAGCGTGGATCAAATTAAAAACGATGTTACTTTATTCACGTCTCCGAATAGAATGCACAACAAAAAGTCACCAGGCACAATAAAATAAATCATTATGAGTTGCTCGTAGCATTACAAACAAGTGTGCCTTAACCTACCTAACATCTGGTGACTCATAGAGTGATTAAACAATATTAAAAGACTCACTCTATATAATAAAAAATCTAGACAATGTAATTTCCAACTGAAATACTAAAGCTCGTACTTTTGTTTACACTGGATACATTTAAATTTACCTCCCTCGACTGGAGAGTTTGATAATAATAATAGAGCCAAACAAAGAAAGGCATTATATTTCCGGTATAAAACCGATAAAAAGTAAAACGTGTCTAACTATAAAACTACACTCTACATAGGACTACAGCTACCAAAATACAAGAAAAATCATAAGAACACACATCAAATATAAATGCCCTGATCTCAATATAATACTTTTATAATAGATTTCTATTTTAATGAAAGCTCAAATTTTGTAAACTAAAGCTCAAATTTTTGTAAACTCCAGAAATTAATTGCAAATGTTAATAAATAATTAATTAATCTTTTCTTTATAAGTTCTAGAAAAATAACTTAACCAAATAAAACATTTTTACCATACCTGTAATAAGGAAAAGCAAAGCGTGGATCAAATTAAAAACGATGTTACTTTATTCACGTCTCCGAATAGAATGGCCGAGTTGCGGGCACAATTCCATTCGGAGACCCACGCTTGCCGTGAATCATTTTGTCCAATCAAATTAGTTTTTCTTTGTTAATTTGTATCAATAATAGCCAAAATATCGTATTTTGAAAAATCACATGACATGAACTGACCATTACCTGAGTATTTGACCTGCCACTTAACAAGTTAATCCCCTAACAATAGGTTAATGGATTCTACTTCGTTTGATAGTGTTTTTGACACTAGATAAAAAAGATAAAAGAACCCATAAATAAATATACAAAAAAAACACATCACCTATCTACAAATTACTGCTGTTCTCTTTTTCCAGCAAAATTACATAATTGTATGGCTAAAGGCTTAAACAGTTTACTAATCCCTCATGCCAAATCTTCTGAGTAACACATATTATTTATTTTAGACAATTACCTGTACTTATTTTTTTCTTCAAAGACATTCCTTCTTTTTCATCAAATAAAATACTATTACCAAATTTCTATACATATATCTGAAATTGTAACAGGAAATAAAATAAAGACTTTACTATATAATTCCTATAAAACGAGAATACCCAAAATGTTATGTTAAAATATCCACATACATTAATCTTAACCCAAATTGAAATATTAATTGACTAAAATTCAAAGTGAAATTTTATCTTTAATCATAACTGTCCTTTCTGACATATTTCATTTTGTCAAATAAAATCTGCAACATGACTATTTTCCCCCTTGCTACCATTGCTTTCGTCCCTGAAAGCTCAAATTTTCCTCATGGATAATGAAAAATATTTAATTTGAAAGATATCCAAGGCATCAATTACATACCCTCGACAAAAAAATTAATACATTGTTTTTCTTCTTTTTTTGTTTTTTGTTTTATGCAATATATCACATGTTTAAAAACTACAATTAAACCTATGGATAAAAAAATATTTATATAAAAAAAATATATATATACATGTATATACATAAAGGCAATATTGATACCCATATATGTGTTCATTTTGAATCCCTGAGATTTTTCAATACTTTATTACTTATAAGTGGGAAAAATGAACAAACAAATATCATAAAATAGTCATCCAATATTAAAGAGTAAAAAAAACCAATGAGGTCCCTGTAATAAGAATTCATACAATAAATGGAAAAAGAAAAAAAAATTATTGAGTTGTGCGATTCAATGCAATGTTGACAACGGAACATAGAAAAAAATTAAAACCATACAAAAGGAATTGAAAATATTGTTAATCTTTTCTGCACTGGGTCATTTAAAGGGTAACCAGCATGTTTTTGTGTGGGTTATTTAGATGGAAAGCATAATTGTTGTGTAATAAGATGACATAGGCACTGAATGGTTGTTTTAAAATTCTTTTGAGTTTATGGTGGGTAAATGGGTTGATGGTAATGGTTGATGGAATGGTAATGGTCATGTTGGTTCGAGTGTCAGTGACTTTGAAATTTGTCCACGTAGCTAATAATTTGCATGATGGAAAAGGAGTAATTGAAATATCTGCAATTTGAGGTGTTGAAATAGTGTAATATGAAGGACACAAGGACAATCTAGTTATAAACACCATAACACAATCACCACCTGTAGTTAATTCTAGTGCCAAAATGGATCCTTTGTATGACTTTGATTTGTACATCCAGTATAAGAGAAGTCCCAAGATGACCAGTACAACTGTACTTAAAATAACTGATGCATGAATCCAAGTAAATTCTGAAAACCAAGTTGAGCTTATGTCTGTTGGATTAGGAGTTGAAGTTTCAAGTTTTTCATAAATGAAAGAAGGGACTTTGTCAGATGTGGCATTTTGTACTTGTTGTAGAACTAAAAGTGATGTTGACAGTTTTCTGAATTTCAAGACCAACACAATACAACATCCTAAACACAGTGCTGCAATACTTAAAGCTACATATGTTAAAATGTTGGAAGTACCTAACCAATCATCTTGAATATCAATTTTGCCATCTATTAAAGGTTCTGCCAGAGTTTTGAAAATTTTCTCATCCTTTTTGGCTGCTTTAGCAATTTTCTTTAAACTTAAATGGGCTTTTTGATCATTTACTAATATCTCATTTAAGGAATGATTATAAAATTTCAGTTCAGGAATGGACATATTTATTGGTGTAGGAAATAAACTGTCCCCAAACACATGTTCTAATTTAGAATCATCAAAAAATTCTTGTAATAAGGCCAAATTTACAGGATGGATCACTGAAAAATTTGAAGAAGAGTTGTAACAATCCACTAATCTTGGTGCATAAAACAGAGATTGGGTTGACAATGAGCATCTACAAGGAATATGAATGATGCAAAAAGCACATCCCTTTAAAACTTTTTGTTCCTTTGGACAATCTAAGACCAAAGTTGGTGTATTATACAACAAAACTGAGGTTAATGTGATTTCAAAAATGTTTGCTTTCAGTAAAGAAGGAATAAATCTAAAGTCACACAATTTTTGAACTTGTTTAACATCATTTGAGTATAAAGCCATTGTACAATCAGGTTCAGTTATAGGGGTCAAGGCCCTATTGGAATTACATAGTATGGTGGGTCTATGATCACAATTAACTAAATCTTCTGCTGATAACGAGACAAAATAATCATGGTGACTTGTGATTGCAAAATAATCTGGTGTGGACAGGAGCTGTGTAGCATGCATGTCTGAGGTTACATTGGTTGAGGTAGGAACAGGTAAACTAATGACCTTGAACAATTGTAAAGGTTGTTTCTGTGTTGAGATGGGAAATTTCACAGTAATGAATAATGATGATTTATCCCTTGCATACAAAAATTTTCCATGAGAATAATAAAATGAATAATCTGTATGAATTAAATAAAAATTCTTGTATGATTTTCTAAGTTTGAAATTGATATTGGAAATGGCTCTGGTGATTAAAAATTTTGGAATTAAAAATGGAGTTATCTTTCCTTCTAATAAACTCTGGACTGCAGCTGACAGTTTATCAAACTGGGTTCTCAAAAGAGTAGCTCTGTTAACTTGTGACATTAGAATTTTTGACACATTAACAAAAGATTTTTCCAAATCATATAATTTGTTATTAAAAGCAGTTGCAATTTTTGAAATGTACTCTGAATTTTCTTTAATACCAGCAGCTAAGTTGTCCATTCTGTGATTGCTTACAGTAATGAAAGATGACAAATGAGATCCATGTTGTTGCAGTGCTTTTGCAATATTTTCTGTTTTCCTATTTAATGCATTGATGTGTCCAGCTAAAATATTGACATCATCTATAGTTGCGGTGCCAAAAATACTTTTTGAGAGTGACCCAATAAATGGAAGTAAAGCTCGGAGTTGTCTACCTTGTTTTAAAATGTTTGTTTGAGGAACTAAAGTTTTGATTTGGCGCATGGTTTCATTGAAATGAATTAAGGTTTCTTTATGTAATCCCTGGACAAAATTTGCAAGATTGTTTAACAAAACACATCCTTGTCGAAAAGTATGAACATTGCAAAAAGGTATTCTAGATACATGAATTCTTTTTGGAAGTTTCACATGAAAGGTATGGAGCCAATACTCCTGAGATAAAATAATGCTTGATTGTTCTTTAAAAACTACCCCATAATTGATTCTCTGTACGATTTTGTCTTCAGTTTTCTCAGGTCTAGCTTGGGCTGGAATGGTTATCACAGTCATTACTGCTAACACAAGGAACATGGTATTGTGGAATCCCCCAAATTTTCCTACAAATATATTTATAGAAAAAAAATTTAAGGTTGTGGTACATTTGTCATGAAAACAAGAACCGATCGTTATTCGTGTTTTCTAGCACTATAAAAAACTGCAGAGTTAACTACATTGATTATCTGACCATACCACAGCAATAATTCTTTTTCTTTATTTATGTGTAAAATTTAAGGTGTTAAATGGTAAGTGAAATTTCTGAATTTTAACTAAACAAAAATGAATGGCTAGCCATTT